GAGGGATCCTCGCGATTTTAGTGACAGTGAGCACAATAACACACGAAAGAAAGTGCGTCATCAGTAATAAGACTTAATGACAACACGAACACGTACATTTTGTTGTATTTTGTTGTACAGCTACTATTCTTGTTATGTTAAGCCGGACTTTTCCTTTTGAACGTTTATTAAAATTATCAAAACACCATAGCGTACTAGTATGTCGCAGTAGTGCCATTTAATAAGGGAAAAATCAAATTGTTGGTTCGGACGCAAATATACGCCGGGGCCTCGATTAAACGCCCCCGGCGTTTATTTCAAAATTGGCCTCGTGGACCCCGCGTATATACGAGGCCGGCGTTTAATCGGGGTCCGGCGTTTAATTGAGAAAATACGGTATGCCACTTTGGAGACTGATCTGTGGAAAATGTTGTTGTGTAAGCCATCAACATAACGCGAGTTGTCAAGTGAAATGTAAATGTGTCTACCTCCCTCTGTTTATCCATCTGTCGTAACCAAGCATGTTCATTAAATCGCTGCAAACGTCTTCTACAACTCGTATTAAGTCCCCCGGCGCATTTTTCCACTTATCAATAACATCTGAGGCATTTCTATAAAGAGAGTAACCAGTTATTTCAGCTGTGGAATTGCTTGGCGGTCTGTCATGAGCAGATATCCATTTATCAACGCTCTTAGACCAATCAAATCCTGCGAATCTGTAGAGTTCCCGCGCTAGGCTTACGGTATTGACCGCGAGGTCTTCGTAACGAACTACTTTAAAGCGATCTTTAAGCCAGGGAGGGGGATACAGCAAACCTAATCGTATATTATGTTCTATGGGATCACAAAGCCTATGAACGTATACACGAAAATTGGAATCTCGGTAACTTCCTTTTATCCATTTCACGGATTTAATTCTAGAGTAAATCACTGCTCTAGGATCTCGCACCAAGAGAATCAATTTCACGTCATATCCGTTCTGTTGTTGGAAAAGCTCCCGGAAACTTTGTATAGTTTTGTTAGGCACACGAGAGGTTAACACCTTGATAACCGTATGTTTGTAAGAGTTACAGGCCTTCTTCAGCAGTAAATCTGAGAACGGCAGACATCCTAACGTCTTACTGGGGCATAAACACCCACTAGTGAGCGCTTTACTCCGACGGCGGAATATGTGCTCTGAATATTCAGATAAAGTTGTATTTGAGATATTACTGAAATCACATTTGAAGAAGCTGTCGATTAAGTTGACGCACGTTTCTCTGAAGTTGATTAGTTCATTTCCTTGCATGATTACACCAGCTTTATATAGTTTTTCGGTTACTATACGCAGTGGCTCAAACCAGAACATGATTTGCGGATTGCTGTTAAACATCGCTCCAAGGAAAGACGACCCTCCCCTTCCAGGACTCAATATAATAAGATTTTTCCTTGCGGCGAACTTCCGTGACTTAATATCCTCCACCGTTTGGCTAATTTCCTTTGTAGAGGTTGTTCTCTTTATTCCACTGTAATTTAACATAATTAAGCCTTGTACGATGCCAGATGTCTTTGCTGCTTTCTCTGCTTTCGTGGTTTTTGTTCGTTCCAGTCGATCTTCTTTATGGAAACTGAAAAGTTGCTCCATCTTGTTGCTATTCTGTACATGAACTGAACGCAGAACTGGATCCAGCTTAATGAAAAACACCACCGACAGCGAGACAAGGACACAAAATGCAGCAAACACCACGCGACGCTTCATGCTAAATGCAACAGTAAACAGCTGATTCTGGCAAGACAAGAGAGCCACAAATCACGTGATAGAATCTGATTACTGGTTACCGGTTACTGATTCCAAAGTTTTACTTAGCAGTTACCGATTTACGGTTTGGTGTATAAGCAACATTTTTTTCATCCAAAACATCAAAATAGCTACATCAAAGAAAGTGTACCATTAATACTTCACGTAGAAACAATTAGTTTTGGTCTCCTTTGCTCAAGCGTGGGAAGTTTTGTCCGTTATAACTTCGGAAAAATCATTTAAAAAACTCTCCTCTTACCCAACGACATAGTTTCACTTGTGCTGTAACCTTCGCAATTTGTCTCATACCCATCGCAAAAATCAGTCATAAGTATACAACCATAAAAAAATACGGCCGCCAAAACTTTGACCCCCCTTGTGCCAATTTCAAAGAGTTGTAACTTTTTTGAGCTACATCGTGATGAAACAAAATTGTTCGAATCAGCACATAAATGACTGCACTATCTATCACAAGTATCGAATGAAATATCGCAAAAGCTGAAAAGAGTAATATACGGATACATACGAGTACATACGCGTATATACGAATACATACGAATGACATACGAATACCTACGAGTATAACATACGAGTGCATACGAGTAATAGACGAGTACATACGTAATATACGGATACATACAGACAAATAAGGTAATATTCAGGTTACATACGAATACATTGGTTACATACGTAGATAAGAATACGTAGGAGCAAGATACCATGGCAGGAGGGTAATAAACACGAAAGGTACCACTTTTCTTTTTACATTTCATTTTTACATGTGCGCGGGTCATGTCTTGCACACACACGTACATAATTTGATTGAAAATACAGACAAACAAGCCCCCATTCACAGATGTGAGAGAAAGAAAGATAGAAGCAATAAACTGGGAAATTCACAACGTGAGAGTAATTTGAATGCGTGTAGACTAAAGGCTGGTTTCCATATGATCGCAGACGATCGCGGATCGCGGATCGCAGATCGCAAAAAGTTCTGCGATCGTCTGCGATCATATGGAAACACA